GGCGTGGAATTGGCGCCGGGTGACGTTCAACAATTCATTCGATTACATTCAGTTCGTGGTTTGAATTCCATGGAACCGGTTGTCGAGGAAACTTGTTAAATCGAGCCCAATTCAAACAATCACAAGTTGGTCCTATAATCAATAGTTCGCGGCGGCGCTGAAATATGGTATAATACTGCAGTTTAATCAGAAACTCTGAAACTAACTACAACAGCAAAACTGAGTTAACGCTGAAGATATAGACAGGCTGGTAAAGTCATATATATTGCGTGGCAACAGCGTTAGGGCTTGTACTGTACAGTCGGCTGAGACCGCTGTATGTAAATCTGATCCATAGCAACTTCCTGCATATAGCGACCTAAGTACATCAAAGCGCTGCGATTCATTAAAACGCGCCAAAAGTTAGGGAACCCAGCTATGAAAGCCGCCGCATCTGAGGCCAATAAAAAATATACAAAAACGACCCTCACTCAGGAAGACCTGCAATCGCTCGGGAATATTTCCTTTTCGGAAGCAGGCAAAGGTGCTTAAAATCAGGCCCAATCCCGTTCGAAAAGACATAAACAGGCCATTACTGGTAACAGGTAAAGAGACGGTTAGAAGCTAGGAAAAATACATTTATTACCGAAGCAGTCGGAACCCACAACGGCGTTCCTTTTTCAGAACAGTTTAATAATAATCTAGAGATCAATCGACGAATTCGAATGGCCTCCGGTGTTCAGTGTGAACTAGCTCAAATTAAGCCAGAGCTGAGTCTGAAAACTGAGCTGCATGTATTCGACAAGTCCAGCTTTCATCCCCATGTTTGCATACGGTCATGATTTAAAATCTTCGATCTCGGTTACAAGAGGCAGAAATTGAAATTGTCTTTCTGAAACAAATAGCTGGGCTTGTACGTCTTGACATGGTCCGGATATCAGACATCACTGCGAGCCTTGGTGTACAACCGCTGCTTTGCCAGACTGAGAAGTCACAGCTGCGATGATTTGGGTACGTCTTACGAACGCTTTCAGCAGAATGGATGGTAAAGCAGCAACTACTTCCACGAACCGGTCGAAGACCCCGATGACGACCAAGAATAACCTATGGCAAGTGCCTCGACGACCGTGTAAGCTCAGAAGCTGGCATAGGAACGGAAATGTTGAAGACACTATCTGACGTGGCTGTCTCCACAAAGAGCGATTATCAACAAACTGACT